GCAGGAATCAATGCAGTAAGGAAAAAGTTATTAAAATGGTGTTTACAGGCAGTAAGTTTATACTTACTACGAGTCACATACTGCTCTTGGTTTGATGTCTGAAGCCACCCATGATATGAGCTATGAACTGACACCTGTGTTGGACTCTGAGCTCACGGCTGCAGAGACAGCAGTCAGGGAATACAAACCACAATTCCAGGCTGCACCAAAGCAATCCATTCCTGCCACCGCTTCCAGCCCTCATAAAGCTGGAAGGCTTCTAAAGCCATGCCAGAAGCAGCTTGAGAATGAAAGCCAGCCTACAGGTGCACGCACTGGACAGTCCACAGGGGTCAGCCAGGAGGCTACAACTGCCTGCATCAAACAGGGCTTACTGTAGGATGGTTGACTGCAGATTTCTGAAGTGAGCAATCATGGCTAACAAACAACTGAAGCTCCCCTAGGCTCCTTCTGGAGAACCTTCATCAGGGACTCAGACCTCACATTGGCACCCAGCCAACCCGGTCTGAAATGACACTTCCCATAAACAGAGGTTCTGCCATTGTAGGACAACTGCTCTCCTCCCCTCCAAACCAGTTTTTTTCAGGAACATGTATTTCTCCACCACTCTGCTTCGGCCACAGAAAGCAAAAAGGGCTGAAATCTCAGGAAACCACAGCTCTAACTAGTACTTCGAGAAGCAAAAGTAACAATTTTCATGCCCTACAATTGCTAAGCAGTTACCACTGGTAAGAAATCTACCCCTTCCTCTCTGCTTTGGGCTTTTATGCATTTCTGTATAGTAGGCAAAAGTGAGGTTGCCATTCTCAAAGTTATCCTTGCCCTTCTGCTATAATGCTGTGAATAGCCTGCCAAAGAAAAACAGATGCTGTTCCACTTGGGTTTCAGCAACACTGCTCCCCAGGGTGATGTCCTCTCCCCTTTTGCATTGATGATGCTTCAACTCTTGCCCCATGAGGAAGGAAGAGATCAGTTACTGCTTAACTGATAGCTAATTACTCCAGTTATTGATGCAAGTTCTCTCATTATCTGCCTCGATTTACTCTTGGCACATTGCTTTTGTTCTAAGGAATTCCTAAATCCACCACTTCAGAAAATGCTGAGGGAAACAGACCCTTCCAGCAGTAAGTGCAGGAACGCTGGTCTCTGCCAAGCCACCAGCTCTGTAGTGTTCCACATATACCTGTTCCCAAGCATCAACAAATGATGTATGCTTACTGAAAATGGAACCTTTTCAGCTATACCTCACTGGAAATCCCACTGTATTTACAGTTTCAGAGTGGCTGGTACATTCAGTTTACCTAAGTGTTGAACAGAAGTTGTGGTCCCTCCACTATGCTTTGTTAGCATTCTTTAAAGTAATCAGTCACACATCAAAACCTCACACCTAACATCTCCCACAAAATTATATTAAGAGAAAGTCTCTAGGACATTAGGCAGTCTTCTAGAAAGTGACAAAAAAAAAAAAGACAGGAATGTAGATCGGAGTGTACTGTTCGTATATGAAAAGTCTCAATCAAAATAGTTATTTGCCTGAGATACTCTGATTTTGGAGCCTAAAGAACAACACTTACAGTTGTGTGGTATTTTGGCTGGTTTTTTGTTTTGGGTTTGTTTTATGTTTTTTCTTGGGCTTTTTTGTTTGTTTTTTAAATCTTGCAGAACACTAAAAAAACCACAACTTGTTAGTTGCACTCCTTTTAAGACAGACCCTTATAAAAGAGTTAATTTTTTTTACATTTAAATACAAAGCAGCTTTCTAATCTTATATAATCAAGAAATGGAAAACAATTTTTATTAACATGTTTTACATTTACAATCTTTTATTAGCTAATCAACATCAACATGCAAAAATAAGCGCTAAATACAAACCTCTACAATATGGTTTTGTTTAAACTACAATGGTTTAATTCTTTTGAAAAGTCATAAGGATGTGTTCTGTAGTTGTTAAAATTGAACTATTAGTTTCAGTAATGAATACTATTTAGACCCTAAAATTATGTAATCATCCTGCAAGGCATCTTCAGAAACTTCGCCCAACACTTAAGAATACCAGCTCATTTTCATGTGAGTACATTCTCAAAGCAAGAAATAAGGCAGTAGCACTAATGATTTCATATTGAACCCTATGCACGTAACTAATAACTTTAGAAGGACTTTAACACTATGGTAGACTGGAAAAAGAACATTTAAACAAGCATTGGATTTTGCCTGAAATGTTCTCAGTTCCTCTTGATACTTATGCAACCTCCTTAAAATATTTGGGTTTGGAAAAAGACTTCATACTCCTTCAAACCAGTCCCTAGTTGATCCTCCAGAGAAGCCAGTCTTGTGTCAAAGACATTAATATCTTCCCACAGAAATAAGTTACGTAATTCATGTTCAGGATTACTTCACGAGAGGATCATAAAGAAGGCAAAGAGGAGCTTAAAGGAGAACATATTGGTAGTACTGAAATCTTTGATAACAAAAGGGTCTTGGACAATTGTGAAAAAGAGGGGAAAAAAATGGATTTAATTTCAAATCTGTTGTAACTTTTCCCCCAGTGCAAGTGTCCATCTTTAAAGAAAGTTATCCTTTAGAAGATGAGAGTACTTTTGAGAAGAGTCCAATTTTTGACCTTATGTTACAAAACCTTAACAATCAAAATTTGTTTTTGTTTTTATTCAAGTACAAACTTAAGTCATAATTCCTCTCTCTCTTTTTTTTTTTTTTTTAAAGAGTGTTTATTGTTGCTCATTGATCTTTGGTCGCAAGAAACAATAATGCCACCGACAGGTCTGTTCCCCAAGGTGGCAGGTTTTGCTTCTTTGCCACACATTAAGGCCCCCCCCTTTACAGGGTATGCCAATATACACTGTGTCAAAATTCCAGCGGCACTTCATCATGTGTTTTATGGACCTACATGATGTAGACTTTCTCAGCTTGTGAGAAGTTGAAGACTTCTTTGGTTCTTGGGCAAATTACTTTGTCATCTTGACGAATAGAAAGCAGAGACTGAAAAAGAGTGAAATCAAAAGATAACATTCATAACAGTAACTAAAAGCATTATTTAACTGTTTAGTAAATAAACTTTGTTATAAATTCATATATTCAATCAGACTCTAGCTTCTTAAAAGATCAATTTAATCGCATAAATATACAGTCCTTTAAAAATTACTGCAAGAAGTTACTTTGCTTCTGTTAATATAGAAGATACTTCTAGCTTTCTGACTGAGTTTATAAGCTTTTATTTTGATATAGAAAGTTTTACACCCACTGCTGTTTTCGACTTCAGTAAGTCATTGATTTCAACACTTACATTGTATCCATAGACATATCCATTTGGTAACATCATAGGAGGATTATTTTCGTTCATTACATCCCCCGAAATCTTGCAGACTAGTCGGGAGTTGGCACAATGTGCCATAGGCAGAGGCTGAGCCAGCTTGTTCAGGGATTTGCTACACACAGGGCAGTCTGGGTTTTTTGAGCTCCCATCCTCTTTGTAACACTGTCTGTTTAACAGCAAGTTAAGGAAAAACCACCACAGAATGCAACAACAATTAGTTAATGACATATATTGCAAAAAAAAAAAGATAGCAAACTGTGCAAATACAGCCTAGGTTATAGAATGTACAGGGCCATTTAATTCGAGTTTAATGTGTACATATAAGAATCAAGTGCTTGCTTTGTTTCGAGTAACAAGAGTGAGCAACAAGTGTGTGGCACCCTCTGTAGGTAAAGTTTCCGATGTAGAACACTTTAGTAGCACCAGTCCTTCTCTAATACACCATAGCGTGTATAGCAAATCCAACCAAGTTTCAAAAGATGCAGGATATATTTGAATACTCACATAAAACCAGACAGGGTAAATTTGTGTGTAAGTGCTTGAAAAATAATGATTATGACCCAGCTCACTAACTTTTGCAGATATATTTACTAATTTAAGACACAGAAAGATAGCCTAGTATGCAAACACAATGTAGATTTCACCTTAAAGTTTTGGTTTGGGCTTGTTTGTTGGATTTTATTTTTTTTAAACCATAACACCATTTATTATGATCTCCCCTTAATTTAATAGAGGGATCAATTCATACTCCATTTAAACAACTGATGAGCAAAAATATTCAAGTGTCATACTACTCTCTTTGAGCTCTCTGGAAAGCATCCACAGACTGAAAAAAAACACAATGCTTTTTTGCACTCGACAGTAGTATTTGCATTAAAGGATACGGTGTTTTTATAGCTGAAAGGCCTGCCTGGAGTGTTATAGTAAAAACAGAATTGTTTCCCAGCTGATGTAGTCTGTAGTTATCATATCTAAACTGTTGGATCAGCATTCTCCATCGAGCAGGGTCCAAGAGATCCTGTTAAAAAACAACACAACTATAAGTTGTTTTCAATCTAATTGTCCCGGGGGGGAAAAGCCTGGGAGTGGTAAATTGTGCAAAACTCACTAGACTGAATCCATCACAACGTAGAAGTATACACGCTAATGCATAGTACGAATGTACTTGTTTAGAAAGTACCTTTTGACACTACTTTACTAGAAATGCGATTTAAATCAAGCATCACTTAAAATAGCTGGCATAACAATATTCAATCTCCCTCCGTCATCTACCAAATGTTCTAATTAAGGTATGTAAATCCTGGTAAGGCTATTTCTTGCATTTAGTTTTCTAGAATGCTGGCCTACTTATGAAGAACATTAGTGTTGTGGGATGTTTGCTCTATATCCTCTGAACCATTAACATCAAAAAGACAGAAGCATTTTTTTTACCTCGAGTCAAGCTAATTCTGCTGATACCTCTTTATAATACATAATATTTACAGAATTTTGTAAAAAGGTTTTAATTTGAAGAGCTGGCACAACCACAGGCTAGAGAAAGCTTAGGTAAGCTATGCATTTAAAGATAAAATGCTTTAATATATATTGTAATGCTGTGCATTACCTAAAACACAGGGAACAGTAGTTAAAGTAGGGATTTTTTTTTTTTTCCACGGATGCAAGAACTAAATCCACAGGTCAAGGATATATTGAACCCTAAAAGTAATGCTGTGAGAGAGTCATGTAAGAAGCGAAAACCCTTTGAAAATAAACTTGTTATGTTAAGTATACAGACAAAGACCTAATCTTTTCTTTTGTTAGCACACCTTCTCCTTTGTATTTTGGTCTTGAGAAGTGACAAATGACTACTTATTTTAGAAATAAGTCCATATTATCAACTGTGCATGCTACACTTTGAGGCAACTAGAAGAAACAATAACATATTTTAGTATATTGTTTAGTTTATAAAACAGGCTTTTATAGAAAATGAAAGACTTAGTAACAGACCATACACAGAGTAGCACCATCAAATTCAAAACACGTTATACAAAAATTACTAGGCAGTGGCTTTACCATGAAGTAGACACTACTCTTTATGCCTTACTCCATACCTCTCTGGCCCACTCTGCCTCTCCTCAGTTCCCTGTTCATTCAAGTCAAAACACCAGAGAAAGAGGGACTCCAGCATTACCTTTCTTTGGAGTGGGGGAATTCCAGGATACAGGCTACAAGAAGATCAGACTGGCCTGAGAACTTTTATCCAAACGATTTAATGGTACCACAGTAATTTTTTTTATTTTTTAGTGTTTTATGAAGAAATTTGCATCATTATCTTAAATTACATGTTATCAGAACTATGGTTCTGATAAATTTGGGAAATACCTTGTAGAATTATCAGAGGCCAATATTTTAAAGAAGAGCTAAACTGCATATTGATAGCAGTTGTCTAAGTGCAGAATTATTTCTCCATCCCTTCTCTCTAACCAAAAACTGATTACTTGAACAGTGGGGAGAAGAGGTTTATGTACAACTAGTAAATCTTAGCTGAGATTATGAAGTTTCACATCTCCATGAACACAGACAAAATGACTGCTGGATTGGAGACAGGATCAACGGAGTTTTAATAGCTCCCATCAAACTGGGAACATCTTTGGATGAGGGAGGGAAGAGATGCAGCTCTCAAACGAATCCCGGTATGTTTTTGTGACAAGCTTTTACAAAGTGGAATTACGCACAAGCTAAAAAAGGGCGCAAGCATAAGTGATGGATTTCAAGAGACTCAAAAAAGCCACCAGGAATACTAAGACAAGAGAAAAGGAAAAAGTCTTACAGCAGAAACAGTTGGATCAACTGTGGGCCTATGGTTGAAGAAAAACCAGCAAAAAAGACAGAAGAATACACAGGAGGAAGAGGCAGAAAGATTCACAGGCAAACACACAGGAAAGAATCCTGGACATAAGCAATACTTGTCTGACTTGTAAGTGCTCCAAACCAACAAGCAGAACTGAGGCAGGGAACCTATACAGATGGGAGCAAAAGTAAATACAAACACGTATCTTGCCTTAACTAAAGCAAAAAGCACTGTTACTGCCACCAGACTGCATGTCTGTCTGCTCCATCACCTGCCCCATCTAAGGCCAGAATGTTCCCTGAGTTCCAGGATGAAGCTTTTGTTCTGACCTTAAGGCAATTCTTGAGAAGATGTGACAGAGTTCCAAAAACAGTTCCATAATAAAGAGATAAAGTACCACTAATGATTAAGAAAAGCCTATGATTAATGGCCTAGGTGATGGGACACAAAAGTAGCAGCTTACTAAATGCCCAGTTGGACATTTAGTCCAGCTGGAATAATTCCAGCCACAGTTACACAAGCTTGTTCAAAGGACATCAAAAGAAAGTAGCTTCTTTTGCCACAACATTAAGTACATTTTCCTTAAAGACAGGAAAAGCTGGAGAAAGTTCTATTCATTTGTTATAGAAGATGCTTCTTCCCTTGGATTAATAAAAATCATTTGATTAGAGATACTATGATCTGACAAACTTTCTCACAGATTTAAAAGTAATTTTACTTAAAACCATTTTAAGAATCCATTTATGCATAGACCTCTGAGTCAACATATTAAAGGTATCTCCAAACAAGCATGCACTCTACGACTCTGTTGATCTAGAGGACCCAAAACAGAACTTCCATAAACTAGAATGTTTTAAGTCAGATCCATAAAAAGTAGTAGGGAATTTGTTCCAATTGTGTGGTTGTATGTGAAACAATACAAGTTTTTCTCCTCACTCTCCATCATTGAAACATTCCATCCAAACTAGGCCTTAGAACAAAATACAGGAGTTTTATTTCTTGCCTATTTCTAACTACTAAAACAATAATAAGCTCTGTCGTACACCCAGTCTTCTAACACATCTATCATTTATGCTCTAACTCATATCAAACGTAGAATCCAAAATGCCAGGACCCTTCTAGGACTGCAGGATTAGCAAAGAAATTCACAGTAATGCTGTGGGTTGTTGGTGTTTGTGTGTGTGTTTGTTTTGTTAAACCACTGTTTTCATCATCAACTGTTTAAAAAACATGCTTAGACTGGCATTGCCACATATCAGCTTGGCATTTCACAGGATTCTTGTCTTGCTTTGCCAGCTCAACTCTTGTCTACCTTCTGCCTCCAACGCCAAATTAAAAAAGTGAATTAGCACATGACCACAGAACAAAGTCACAATCTGTAGAAACGGTAACTACCTATGAATTTTGCTTGATACAAATTTAGATGTAGATATTAATATCTACATTAATTTGTATAATCCAAATAAATGAACACTTACTTTGAAGCATCAAAACTACTGCTTTCAGGTCATTCAATCATCTTTCCTTTCTTCATCCCAACCACCACAAGAACAGTAATTTGAGGAGTAGAATTAAGAACTGGTGCTAGTCTACTAAGGCCACAGCCTATGTTGAACAAAACTATCTTATTTTTTTCTTCGTACTTCCCCATCTTCTGCCTCTTGCTGTGTATTTCCATAGCATGCTTCCAGTCCCACAGATATTTAGTGGTGGGTTTCTGGTAAGCCTAGCTCAGTGTGAACCTGTCTCTTACTGTTAAGATCCAACTGCAACAATAGAAATACTACCTGGATTAATGTACAGGCAAGGACTGGTTATTAAAATTAAGGGCTATTATAAAGGTGGGTTTTAGGAAGTAAAATTAGAACAACGTTTGATCTTCAGATTATCAATGCATTTTCCTGTAAGGAAAAAAAACTGCAACATGTATTTTATCATTCTGCTGTACCGCTGAATTTCAAACATAACGTTACCTTATAGGGGGAGATATGAGTGTCTGAAGGAAAGGCCAACATTCCCATCACTTGTCGAACCTCATCCAGCTGGCTTCCCTCAGCCTGACTGAAATGCTTTCTTGCATGCCTGGAATACACAATTTATACCTTTATTAGATAGCCTTGTTTCTAAATCAAGTAAATTTACATCTAAATCAAGTAAATTTACATAATTATGTTAGATCTCAGAGAAAACCTCTAAATTCTGCTCTTAATGAACTCCAAAAGGTGATGCATTTAAAGGGCTTGAAAAAAATACATCCTGCAAATGTGAATGCAAGAATGACTTAAAGAACTAGCAATTTTATATTGCAATTTCTTAGAAACCAGAACTTCTTACTGTAGCATGAAGTCTTACCTCACCTACATCTAGAATGACAGATCCATGATTATTAGAAGAAATGTCTCTGCTTATGCAAGCTCAATGTATCACACTTACTCCTTCGGTATACACTTACAAGTGAGATAAATGCAGTCTGATAATCAGCTATTCCAAACCATTAAATATCAAGAGTGTTCAAATATCTACCTTGTTTATACTGACACTTGAGAGAATGGTTACTTTTGAATAATTTTTTTTTTTTTAATAGGCTAGAAGGCAATATCGTTTTCTGTGCAGACTACAAGAAATTGCAAGGTAATGTAGAAGAAGACACCTCGTTAAGAGCAAATTTTTTTGCCAGGGAAATAAAAAAATTAAGAACTTCAGTACAAGTTTTTGTACTTTAACACATACTGATTGTAAGAGGTATACACAAGACTGAAGACTCAGATATTTGAAAGAAGTGACAGAATTACCAGAGACACATTTAAAGCAAAAGTAGAAACTTTAATATTTTTCAGGAAATTAATATAGAGAAACCAAAGAATTATTATCAGATTATAAGGATATTAAACTACTTTAAAACTCAGTATGAAAACCTCTCCTATCTAGTCTTCCCGAGATCGTAAATTTTCAAGTTAAAGTGTGCAGGAAAACACTCCAGTCTTTAAACTGGATGATTAGTTCAGCATTTCTGCTAAAAGCTCCCGTTTTCAGTGGTACACAGATGTTGCATAGTAGACTGAGTATAGAATCAGCACTATACTGAATTTCCGGCATTGTATAATCGTAGAAAAGTCTCCCCTATGCTGTATTTTCTCCACAGTTTGCATTAGGGAGAAGACAGCAAGTCATCTCTGAAGTACTCTGGTAAGCATTTGGTCTTTTTAACCTTTAAAGAGTCTTGTTAAAATCTATTTAAAGTTACAAATTACTTTTAGGAATATACAGTTGGTTTTTTTCCAATTACCCATTTCATGGGCTGAATTAAAAAATAAAATCTAGATAAGTTTGGGTTTTTTTTTTTCCCAATTCTGTGTTCCACTAACTACACTTAGGTCATCGATACCATGAGAACAGTCTCTTCAGCAGCGTTTCAGTACTCCTACTTCCTCTCCCACCCAAACCAGGAAGCAATGGAAGTTATGTAGGACAGACTGTTTCCACCCAACTTCCTATTTTGGGTAAGCAATTCAGGAATGTAAATATTGTTCCCCAGGTGATTACTGTTATGAGAGCCGAAGTGCAAAACTCATAGCCTGAGAGAAGGGACCAGGCAGCCTGGACATACTGGAAGAAAGCTAAAATTAGTACTAGTGCAAAGCTGCAGATGGAAGCGATAGCTATTTAAAAGAAAGCTTAGGCAAAGCAAAAAATTCAGATGTACTGGTTAAGCTAAATTACTATGTGCGCATGAGGGAGAGACCATTATAACTACTAGCAAAATTTATACTCAGAGCACTCCAAAGTTTTATTATTTTTATACACCTGTTCAACCCCACCCCATAATAAAAATAAAAGGAAACTATTTATTCACCTTTGTAGGAGAGAAGTTTGCTAAAATGAATACCCTGGCTACCTTCTCCTAACTGCGCATCAGCTGTTTTTATTTACTTTTTGTCCTTTATATCCCAAGAACAAGAAGCACACAGAGTGTTTTGTTAAGCTTTTCGTAAGAACTCTAGCATTCCTGTAAGAGCAAAGTAGCAGAATGCTGTCAAATTTCCCAGAATGAAGTTAGTGAGAGCCCCAAAAGTGTGAAATTAGTGTCATCTGTCATTCATTGTTACTGTAATAGGTATGAGCTTTACAGAAAAAGCTAAAGAGGCTGTGGGAGTTAAAGGCTAATGATACTAGGCAAAAAAACCTTTGTGATGTAGTTACACTTAAGAGATTTACTCTTTGTATTCAAGAATTAGTACATTCTTGAAACTTGCACTTCCAAGATTACTCTGATAAAGTACCTTAGAGGAAAGTCCGTTTGCACTCATATTCTACAAAGCTACAGAAATTCAAACTTTTATTTAATAAGATGTATAATTTTAGAGCTCACATCAATTTTAACCTAAAAGCAATATGTCACTTTAGAAGTTCTCAGCAGGCAGTAAGCAAAGCTTTCAAACTTATTTAAACACCAGCTGCGTTTCAACAAAATGTCAGTTCTCCGAGTTCCACTCATACAGGAAACTACTTGGTAAACAGCCTCTTTCTCTGCTTTCTAATGGATGCCTGACCTATTTATTGCACCATGGACACAATACTGAAAGAATTGTGCTGCAGGCACTTAACAGAAGCAAGCTAATAAAAACCCAAGTTGCAACAGTTTGCTAGAAGCCATAAGATTTATGCTACACCTTCCCAAACTATATTCCCTTATTCATTGCATATTTATTTTGAAGCAAAGTAGAATGAAATAGTGAAAACTAACATTCTTTAAGCCACATTAAAGGAAAGTGTTGAGATGTTGAACCGAGCGTACAAAATTATGAAAACTCATCCTGTTAAAAAGGAGTGAATTAAGATACAGAAGGACTTCTGTAGCTCCTTTTTCTTTTACAAGAAGTTATGAAGTTAAAGCAGCATTTTTATGACTGGTAAGTTGTAATTGCAAGTATAAAATATTCGTCAACCCTGAATTTCAATAGGTATACAGAATATACACACTTCACCCCTAACAACATTCAATATGGATGGTTATTGCAATGCAAATAGGAGCAGTAAGCTTTACACCTCAGAGGCTATGATAGTACAAGTTATTCCACATGAAGAGTGCAGAGTCCTCTTGAGCGTTGACAACTTGCAAATTTTACCAGCTCTGATGTGGAGAAGGAATCAGAGGGAAACAAATATCCAGTAACAACAATACAATACAGTATGACTTTATCTACTTCGTCCCAGTTCTCAGCCTATCTCCTTATTTCAGCTCTATGCCCGCCTTCTGGTTTCCAAGCTACATAAGAAAGTTGCAATTCAAAGAAAATAGTTTTTAGAGCATGGACTACGCATTGTTAAGATGCATGACTGCACATTTGGCAAAGAAGCAAACCTAGCAGAGAATAAAGCTAAAGGCATAAAGCCACAGTATTAGTTGGATATAAAGAACATCAAGGGCTTCAGAAGACAGATAATGTAGTTGAGGGTCTTTCATCCTTTTCATAAGTACCTGAAAATTCCTTAGTTTTAAAACTCTATCAAAGTCTAAGTGCACACATCTAAATCACAGAATCTCCTAGACTGGAAAAGACCTGTAAGATCATCTAGTCCAATCATCAACCTAACACTGACAAGCCCACCACTACACCATGTCCCTAAGCACTGTATCTACACAACCCTTAAATACATCCAGGGACAGCATATAGGTGGTTTGTGGTTCATTTTTTTTTCCATTATTAACATTAAAATTATCTGGAGTTTATCACTGCTGGAGTTATTTGCATTGCTGGGACCACAACAATGTTGATTTAGGTGCAAGTAGGAATGATATGAGTTAGCTCAAAGCAAGCAAAACATTTGAATCAAATTAGAAATATCAACGAGAAATAACCCTAAAACTTAAGGTAATTGTAGGGTGGTGTTAGTATTAGACTGGCTTCTCCACATACTTGCACCACCTTTTCCTTTATTCTTGTTTTTACACAACTAAGTCTTGCTCACTCATCCTGTTCAAGAAAAGTTATGTGATGTGGTTTGCCCTGCAGAAGAATTTCTACATCTAAAACTTGGGAATGCACTAGAATGCCTTCAGTCTGTGCTTATGTTGCTTATGTTACTTATGCTTATACTTTTCAACCTTTTCTGTAACTGTGCTTCTCTGACCAAAAAGCTGCTTTGCTGCAAATACAAACCTCCTGCTGGTTTCAATTTCTGGATTACCTAGTATGGCTTTAAAGGCAGTAAGACTTGCCACTTACTTAACATAAAACTTGTCAGAAATGTTAAATGGCAACAGCGTTATCAACGGCATGTATCAGCAAAGCTTCAAGTCTAGCCATAAAACTTGTCATCTCTCCCTAGGTTTAAATATCCTTACAAAACAGAACCGGCTGTGAGTTCCTCTCTCTTGTCCATGTGTAAGCTCCAGCAGCTCTGCTGCCTGCATTATACTTTGTGGAGCTGGCAAGATCACTGCTTATCAGAATCATCAATACATTTTATAGTCCCAGTATCAAAATTCCACTCATTTCAGCAGAACTGGTTTCCTGTGTTACCGTGGAACATTATTCCACCATGCTAATTTAAAAGCGTGAAGTGCTTCATGTTGCTGAAGCACTGCGAGAAAGACTTTTGTGGTTGAAGTCAGGCAGCGATTAGGTCTGACTCTAGTTCTCCTACTGATTCATACCACCTTGGGCACAGCGTTACATTCTTCTCAAAGTAGTCCCCACTGAACTAGTTCAAAAGAGGTGAAAATGGATATTGAGTTGGTTTCTTCATTTGGGGCCTGGGGAAGGGAGTGGGGGTAGCATAATGTGTAGCTTGTTATTCTCCCAAACATGACAATACAGAACTCCAAATAACCCATTCAATACAAAAAGTGAACCTGGCCAAAAGCATAACTTGTAGAACAAAAAGTTTAATGAAGATAGTAAAACAGGGTAAATATCTTCATTACTTTGTATGCCACAAGAAAATACAATTGTTTTATAAAACAGCTTAATTTTCTAAACCTTGATTTTGAAGAGTAAGAAGATGCAGAGTTTCAGCAACAATATTAATTTTTGGAAAAGGTGCATCTGTGGAACGACACCTTGCCTTTAAAAAAAGGCCAAACAACAACAATGTTCAACCCCTGCTAAAATCCAAAGACTGACCACAACACTAGCAAGATCCCTTACAGCAGTGGGTCTTCTGGGTGCTGCAACAGTCACGTTTCTAATGTAGTATAATACCATCTTGTTAAAAAAAATTGTTTGGTAAGCATCCTAATTTCATACCTCACAGCATCCAGTCTCTTGTTCTGTCGAATGAGTTCAATGAACTCCTGAATCCTTAGGCTGAACTCCAGACAGCTCTGAGATTAAAGACAAGACAGGGTTTTAGATGGTGCCAAAACTGCATTGCACAGTATGTTAAGTACTACATGTGCACAACAAAAAAGAAAGTGTTAATAACATGCAACCTTGTTTGCTTGCTTTTAGGCATTCATGCAAAAAAAGTTGAAATGCTGACTTTATGGAAAAGACATCAGCACAGAATTCCCTAAAAGCAAACAAAACCCTCCTCCTCTTGCCTCCTTCAAAACTGCAGTATTTAGCAGGGATGAACTTTTCCCTACTGACAGAAAGCATCATTACCTGGGATGCAAGTGAGAGTAACAGGTGGTTTCTTTGTACTTTCTTACAACTTAAAGCAGTAGATTCAACCAAAGTTTGGGGCTACGCAGTAATTTAGACAAGAGAGGTCTACCCAGAAGACTGCAAGGAAGAAATAAGTATTTGAACGCTATTTTGGAAATCCCCAATATTAATAAAAACCAGCACAGACTAAGTTGCTGCAATCCCCTCCCTCCCTCCCTTTCTTCAAACTTCTATCCCGCTCTTCTTGTCAAACATCTAAAAGCCATGCTGGAAACAAGTCTCAAACAAGAAAACCAAGTGGCATTTACCTGTTTTTGGAAAAAGGTAAAATTTGAAGCCTAATGAAGTTGACAGTGTCCCTTTAAATCAAATTCCATCACCAGTTCACAAAATCTATAAAAAAACTTCGAATATGTGGAATTAAAAAGAAAAAGATTCTCCCCCCATAAAAGAACAAGTCACTATGCTTCTTTATAGGGACACAGTCAACTGTTTTATTACCTCAAGAAAACAACAAAAACCCAAAGTCCTTTGAATCTTGAAGAGAACTGTGTTCCTTGAGTTACCCTGCTCCATTTGGCAAATGGTTTTTTTCTTCCCCCATGCTTCTAGTGAATAGTTGCCTTTTGTTTATTGTCCATCAGCACAATAATATCAAAATTCTTCAGTGACTTCAGTAGGAATTTGAGCAACTCCAAATTTGTACCAGTTAACTGCCTGGGGTGACTAATGCACACATTGCAGTAACTGCTTATTTTAAGATTTAAAATGTAAGCCATTTGAACATAAAAATGATGCACTGTGTCATACTTTATGTATACTTCTTTAAGGAACAGAAAATGAATTTTTTCCAACTATGCATTTTTTTGTACTCAAGCCCATGTTTAGCAGAGAATAACAATTTCTTCTCTACTTTATTTGAAATTTTCAAATAGGACTATTTTAAAATATCCTGTTATTCCAATCAACACAACCCCCTCATTTAGAATTTTAGCTGAGTTAATTTCTACTAAAAAAATGATCAGGCTTTTTATTTGTTAATGATACTAAAACCTAGAGCTTAGTACTTCATTAAAATGTTTCAATAGCAAAAAACCTATATCCCAAAAACAATCTTCAGAGTTTGCGTTTTGTTTTTATGAATCTTCAAGTAAGCTGCAAGCCACTGGCTGTATGGGTTCTGCAGACAAATGTAACTAGAAGAGAGCCCTAGACAATCCGATGATACATACGTTTCAATTTTGTATACCTTCAAACAATTCCATAGCAGCTGTTGACAAGAGTTTAGATAGCTCACATCTGTAAATGCTATAGGACCATGTGCTTTCCCAGGCCAACACAGTTTAATTTTTTGATTAGGCTTGCGTTAAGGTGGTGGCTGGGATTTTAGAACATTAACATTGATGAGTAGCTAAGCAACCAGAAACAGAAGAAATGTTTATTTGTGTTTCAATAAGCATAGTGATTTCTTTTCTTCCAACTCTGATCTCTCACAGCCTTAGCTTTGTTTTTTGTTTGTTAAAAAAAAAAAAAAAGACTAGGGCTTGCAGAAATAGATTTTTTTGTTGCTTTTGTTTTCCAAAAAGAGGGATGGGGAAGATTTTTCCTTGTTTATTGTTTGTTGAAGATTGGTGATGAAGTAATAAGACGTTCAGATTTCATTTCTTATATCACTTAACATATTAAGATTACACAAGGGGGATTTTTTTAGCAGTATAATTATGCAAGTGTTTACATACCAATTCTGGTTTTCCTTTAATGGTTTCCATAACAAGATCATCATTTTCTTTAGAGTAATCACTGTCCGATTTACTTTTGCGTCCCATCTTCGGTTCATTCTCATTTTGGCGCCCCTGAGTGACAGAGAACGTCACTCTTTGCTTATCAATAAGTGCACTCAAACATTTTTGGTTAAAGAAAGCGCTTAGTTTAAAAAATAAGACACAAACATCTTTGAGGGAGGCAGGGATTTTGGTTAATATAAGTTAAAAACAGATTTCTGCAAGCCCTATAAAAGATTACAGCATATTTTGAAATGCAGAATTTAAGAGACAAGGAAATTTAAACCAACTGCATAGGAACAAGCATACAGCATGTTCCGGTCATGGTATTCAATGGTGGTAAAAGACTTACTGTGTTTATTACTCAATTAGACTTGGCTTTTGTTTTTGAAAAAAACACTTCAATAGTAGTTTGTAACAGAAAATTAGTTCTTTACTCAAGTTTTGTTTTCTTATATACAACACTTTAAAAACACTAGTACAAAAACCTGTATGAAACGTCTCTGTGTTAAGTCTGAGGACATCGGTTTACCAATTAATCTCAGTCTTCGGATACCTTCATATATAAACTGAGTTATATTCTCAGCAGGATGCAGAGAGTTATAGATGTAAGTTCACATGCGCCAAGACACTACATACTTCTGCATTTAGACATTTGTAAATCACACTAAAACCAACTGAATATTATTATTTTATTTGAGCATAATTTGTCCAGACAACACTTGCATCCATAAGATGACCTATCACTCAGTTTCAGGTTGGGCATTTGCGTGAGCTAGTTTAGCTCCAACTACCTACACCTTCTCAAAGGACAGTGTTGTACTTACTGTCCTTAGTATTATACAAGGCCTCATTCAAGACCTATAATTTAAACCAAACTGACCACATCAAATATCTACGTAGTTTAGAAAACATTTAGAAAACAATTGAAGCAAAACAAACATGTTACATTTTCATACCTTCATTTTTCTGAGCCTGGATTTGTTATCATGACACCAAGCCAAGCAAGTCATAGTCTCTTGTCTTTCCAATGACTCTTCCACTTCTTTAGCAGTCAAAAACATCTCAATATTTACCAAGTCCTTCCAAAATAAAAAGAAAAGCATGTCTCGTCAAGTTGTACTGATACTCTAACACAGCAATCCACTCTTCAACAGAACTGGAATACAGAGATACTAAAAACTTAGATTTCTGGTTTTTAGGACAGTACTTTACAAAAAGACATTACAGCATATTTTAAAGATTGCATTTCCATGCACTAAGAAATTCTAATAGTGAGACAGTGACAGTATTTTTCTGAGTCTACTTATACAACATAACTAGAAAAAAGAAAAAGAGTAAAGATTAAATGTAGGAGCTTTGCACAGAAAGTGACCTGATCCCACGATCACTTCAGTGCTCTTCACACTTACAAAAGTACTTGGTTTCCTCAAAGCTTAGCCTACTACATCAATTGGACCATGACAATATCATAACATTTACTAAAGTAAGCAACAACTACATGAAGGAGGAGAACCTAAATCTACTTTACTTAGCCATTTATAACTATTGAGTTTTAAGCAAAGTCCCACAGTGGTCTGACGTCTCCAGTATATTTTCTCTCACTTGCTTAATGATGTAAGCTCCAGACCTTCAAATGCTTACAATAGTTCTGCCTACAACATCCAACATATCAATACATAAAATACATAAATAATAAATAAATACTTAAATAAATAATACATAAAATAGCACATAGAAACATAATGATATAACAAAGTTATTGTACTAAAAAACAGCTAGGCAATGGGTGGGCCACAAGATTCCTCAAGTGCCTATCACAAGCAGATGTTTCTGAAGAAAAAGCAGCAGTCTAGTATCAAATTTGCCTGGAGCAAACCTTTAGTATGTCTAGGTGACTTTTTAATTACCAGCAGCTTTACACACTCATACCAATCAAGGCAAACACAACTGAATAAAATTTAAAGATCTAGTAGGGTATCAAATAATGTGTGTGTGCCCCCCCCATATTTCTGCTGAAAAAGAGACTTAGGTATCCCAAATGATATGAACAGGATCCATTGTGAATTGGCACTACCAGCAGTTATTTTGGGACTGCATAAATATGCTATGCTGTGACAGTTCCTACCTTACTGAAGAAAATACACTGTAAAAAAATCATAATTCAATAGACAAACAGAAATCCAGTACTGAAGTATTTGATTAATATGCACTCTAATTTTGAACAAGTTCGTTTTTATGCAGATTTCACAGCAAAATGCTGAAAATTATACAACTGAAATGCTGAATATGACAAATATTACAGTATCTCTAGTGAACAAAACCACTCTCAGAATTAGATGGCATTTTCAGCTGTTAGAACAGCTGAATATACTTAGTCTTAGAATTTATACCTCCTTGAGACAACAGTAAACAAATAGAAGTAGCATCGGGCATATCACATTCGCATCTTGCATTTCATTAGACAGTTTTTCCTTATAAATACAAGAAGTCTAATACTGTTGGAAAAGTGGACTACATCATGCTCGGTTTGTCAGAATGGTTATTTACAAAAGTGTAAACAAGTCTCATGTATTTCTAAATTGCAGCACAAGTTGCAACTTTAAAAAGTTTTCTCTCTTATGAGTTGAAGGTAAGTTTAAAAACAAAATATTAAGGGCAACTGCCATGCAACTAGATTTTATAGATTGTATGACCACAGCAACAAAACCATAATACCATCAAAAGAATAAAGGGTCTCAAGCAGCTCTAGTGCTTGAGCAAAACCAGGTAAGTCAGACTCAGGTCAGAGCTAAAGCAGCTGCAAGTTTATAGAACAAAATTAAGATCCAACTTTCAATTACACCTCCCATTCCCTTTAAGTATAACTAAAAGAATAGTTTTTATCAATGTGTTGGCAAATTAACTGAAAGAATGCCAATGTATTCCACAAAAGGTGCTTTTCTTTTTTTGGAAATTTTCCTACAAGAACAGGAGAGTAATCTCCTTGGTAGTCCAAAGTTTTTCTGATGATATGCTCAAGTGGAAAATAGAAGTGCATTATTCCCGTGCTTGATAAGGTGACCACATAAAAATCTCTTGCCCGTGTAATTTGACATATAATGCAGACATATTCATTATCTCGCTTGCATATTTTTCCACACAGCTGCTGAATGGAAAGACAATTCAATTTGTGTTAAAAATAACAGCATCTCCATACAACTCCTTAAGCTTATTTGAGCTATGTGTTCTTTTAATGAACAGCATTTACTTTTACAACAGATTAAGACAAAACCATTTCCCTCTACACTTAAAAAGGACTGGATAAGCTAGGCAGACAACAAATCACTGGTTTAATCTAATTTGCTAGCTTTTTATAGTTTAAGCTTCATCACAAAATAAATTTCTACTTTCTAAAGAAGCGTAAGGGCAGCATTTGTTTTATTTCAAGGAGCTGGTAAGAGAATCTCAACTATATGTATTTATCAACCAGGTGTTAGTATAGCAACGCTCAACTGTGAGCAAAAAAATTGTAGTTGATGCTGAGGCAGACAAAACTCTCAAATAAAAGGAGAATTCCTACGTTCCTTTTGCAAATTTAAAATAAAAAGGTTCTATTTGGAACAGAAATGCTAATTAGATTTGCGGTTGCCAAAAGAAGTCAAAGCTTGGCAGCCATCTCTATTAAATAGAGAGTATGTATCCAGAAAAGAGAAGAACATTATTAATTAAAAGAGCTCCTTTCAGAACTAACAATCACATTTAAATTGCACCAATAAATAGGATTTTCTTCTCTGCTGACTAGATAGAAAGTTAGG